AGTTCCTCATAGTTTAACTTATATAGAAATTAACAGGAATTGAGAACATAGTTCTAAATGCTCACGAAGTTAACTTGCAAATCAAAACCATGTTGATAATCAATGAACCAAAATTTCTTTTTCACAAAGTATTGAGAAACCTAGAAACTCAAAACTATTGAGTTCTCTCTTCTTCATGCTTAATTTTTGAATGATAATCATAATACGCTAAAGACGACCTATATAAATCCCAATAAAATGTTTTAAAAAGAAACCTAATAAAACTGGGACTGCATTGTCGACCTTTTTCACTGCCACTATCACGGCCCCTGAATAGATTCACAGTTTATGAAGCCTTCTGTGGTCTTCTGTTAGAGTATCCCAAGATCTGGTCTTTTCCTTAGCTTCTGGATTCAGTATGACGGACTAGCTTACGGATCGCAAAAGAGACTGCGGTCCCTCAAGTTGTCTGTTGTCTTGACTTTAAATTTCCCAAAACCTGGACTTTCAACTTGTAATCTGGAATCTTGTTCATGAGCTGGACCACGGACTGTCAAAGTGATCACGGTTCGTGAAGTTGTCTATGGTTTTCACATCAACTTTCTCATACTCTGGAATTTTACTGTGCACTCTGGATTCTTGTTCACAAGATGGACCATGGACCCTCAAAGTGGTCATGGTCCGTGAAGTTGTCCATGGTCTTCACTCCAACTTTCTCAAAATCTAGAATTTCACCCTGCTCTCTGGAATTTTGTTCACGAGCTGGACCAAGGATCGTCAAAAAGGTCACGGTCTATGAAGTTGTTCGTGGTCTTTATTTCAAATTTGGGTCTTCAAAATCTAGCTACTGCAATCACATTGCATGGTCAATCTCACAGTCTGTGAAGTGGACCACTGACCGTCAAGATGGCCATGATTTTTTATTTCTTTACATATTTTTTCAACATCTGCCTGATTCTTCGTGCCTAATCAATAAACACATCAAATCATAAAAAAACACTCGATTCTAGTATTAGTTCCGTGTTTCTAACAATTAAATGTACCCCGGATATCACTGTACATCAACACGCTCAACTTAGAACATTACTTGTCCTCAAGTAATGAGACCAACAATACACCTACTTCTCAAAAAATTTTCATACTATTGAACTATGCAACAACTATTTTTAACACATCTTGTATCCTAATTCTGAATCTAACACATAAGGATCTATTCATGGCATCTCATTACTTACAATCAGTCATGTCTATGTCTGTGAGTCATCACTTACCTAATCCACCCTCAAATGCAATCACAATGTACTTACACCAAAGAAGTTCCTCGCTTAGAATGATTCGGACTAAGTACTACTCTTACTCTCTCAAAGAATTTCTAGCACTAACAACAACTACTATAGGTTTGCCCTCGTTTTCTATACTCTTTCTTTTAGAAAATTGGAATAGGATCACTGCAGGGATTTTATTGGCTTGTAACATAGGGTCAGTGCTAGGGAAATGATACTTGGATGTTTAGTTTTGTGAGTGACTAATCCCTTTTTTTCCCAAATTTTTGTTTTCACAATTCCTCTTCCAATTGAATATTTTATTTTCTTTATTTTTTTCATCACAACAGCCACTCGACTATTCCATTGTTTTTTGTTGTTTCTTTTACACACACCTCTTTACATTTCAACTTGCTAGTTGAACTATCTTTTCCCTGTTGAGGTTGCACTCACCCTCAACTTAGGCTTTTAGCCTTAGTCGTGACAACGTACCTTTAGGTAAACCAAGGTTGTGAACTGTTTTGGGTGAGAATAAAAATCTATTCCAGGATCAAATTGGGTTTAAGTAGTAAGCTTTTTATTTGGTTCTTTTTGTTTTGGATTTTATTGAACCATAAGAAACATAGCCTACTGATCCTTTCCTATCAAATTCTTCTCAATTTCAAGAAAGACTACTCATGCAAGTTCTAGTTTCTGCTCATATTGCTAGACATCAATTAACACTCACACACACCTACACATGATTGCATCATCCAATTTATTTAGTTCACCAATTCATTATTCAAAATCAGCAATGTTCAACAAGTTAGTATCTAGAATGTCATATAAAGATCCTAACCGTCAAATCCATGTTCAGAATCAGTTGTTTATTTTTTTTTACTGAATTTCAACTGCATATTTCAACCTAGTTTGTACAACAACAAAATCAACAAACGGAGACAACATCTATTTTCTCACATCTATGTATGGTGTCTTAACCACCCCCTCCCCACAAGAAAAGACTTTGCCCTCAAATTCGATATAGAATGATACACATAAAAGGTTATGAGGAGGTCATACCTACGGCGTTGTAGGCGCTGATCTTTGGCTCAGCGATGGCACCCTTATGAATATGTGCCTGCTTAGAATTGAGTAGTGTAGTGGGTACATAAGACACCAGATAGATTGGTGTTTCACCTTCAATGTGGGCAGGTCCTCCACTCCTAGACGCACCAACTAACATGGATTCTTGTTGTTCTTTTGTACGGGCTGCTCGTTCCTTCTCCAACTTCATGGACTCTTTGCGAGTTCTCTTTTCTGCTTTTTGTGCCTATTGTATTGGGTCAAGTGGAGTGTCCTCTTCAAGGTCACGAGCCTTATGCTTCCTCTTTTTGGACTTAACGAGTGGTAATTCTCCCCAAACTTCATCAACGAATAGGACTTATGGTGTCTGATTTAACATCAGCATTAAAGACTTAGGTAATCTAGGAGTGGGCAGTTGTACAGGATTCTTGGCTAAATTAACTATCTGAGATCGCATTTCAATCAAGTTGCTTTATGATCATCGGTATCTATCCGACTAGCAGCCTTGAATCGATCTTGCACCAGATTCGTGTACCATCTAATCTCTCTTTGAGCACACCCAACACTTTCTGTACCTCACTAGTGATCTCTTTTTGGTCGGCAGACACTAAGGTCTCAATCATTTGAGGCATACGGCGAACTATCTCATCTGTTAATGCCCTAGTTAGGCGTTGATCTGCAATCAATTTCTCAAGCAAAATTATAAAGATAGTCACAAAAGTACCTAAAGCTTAAGCAGTAGAGGTAGGTTATGGTGCTTCTATGGCAGCTTGAGACGAAGCTCCTTGCTCGGCACTCTGTCAGCCTGTGGCATTTCTAATGGCACCTGCGGAGCAACAACTAGACTATCTATCACTTAAGATTTAGCACCAAATCGGTGGTTTTCCAAATATTTTATCTTAGACACCTAAATGATTCTGGATTCCTCACATCATCTATCAACAAAGCTGTTGGTAGGAATCTCTGCTTGGCGACATAATTTCCCTATCAGATAAAGGAAAGAAATGTCGTCCTCTCATTTAGTGCCCTATCTCTCATTTCTATTGCTATGATCTTCCCTGTATTACTGGTTAACCACTCAGCAGGCAAGCTACTAGTAAAGCTAGGGAAGGTGAAAGAGTGTTGTCTTTTTCTGTTGGATGCAACTATTCCCGAACAACATCCCACCACACCTTAGTCAGAATGTGACGGTGAATCAGACAAAACAATTCTCCCATAGAGGAATTGTGAACAAGATGGGCATCTTCAAGGATCGTGCTATTTTGCCTGAATTTAGGGTGGTTGTCAGTGACTTCATGGCATTTCCAGATATCTACCGTACTTTTCAATTTCATAAGTTTGAGTAGATGGATAATGCACTTGGTAATTGTTTTAGTCACCTGACAAAGCAGTTTTACACATCATTGCATCCACTCTGATTAACCTTGTTGGTGCCCCTAAAGCTACAAAATGAGGGTAGAAGGATTTTTGTACTACATTGGGTCCCCTTGAATCCATCATCGTAAGGGGCAAATCCATTGACATTTCAGAAAATTCTATCAATCGAATGGTGCATGGACAGAAGACATTGCTCCATCATTAGTGAGACTCTTTAAAAGAGGCACCATGAGCTTAGCAATGCAACAAACATGGAAGATCAGGCTTCTCGAGAAAAGGTGTTACATTGGATCTCCATGAAGATTGCCATGGATGGGGAAAATGCGAGTTGGGTCACCACTATGCCCTGAGTTATCATTCACATTGTCACTAGAGTTGTCATTATTATGGCTACTTGTAGTAGACTGAGAGTGATTGCTAGCATTTGCATCATTCTCAAAATCACTGTCCTATTCTTCAGACAGAGAAGGAGTGTTCTGAAGTATGCGACGGTGGAATTGTGATCTAGTAGTTTGAGGTGGATTTTCCACCAGAGTATCATTTAATTTAACCTCAGAACCACTAGCTTCGGATGTGGCATGTACCTTAGATTAGGAAGTCATAGGAAGGCATGCATGTTATCATTTTTCCTCCTTGGTCTGCGTGTCATTCTACTTGTAGAAATGAAAAATTGTTAGCACAAATGCATATAAGTTACACACTATTAAGTACTCAGACTTCCCCTGTGTTCAACATTACCATGACGCCTTGCCTTAAGAATGACTATTGATACCCAATTTTGACCAACCTTTAACCAATTTTAGGAATGTTATTCGATTAAATACGTATTTTTAAAATATATTTCGAGTTTAAAATCTTAGTCTATTTTGCATAAAAATTATATATTTAGTATGTCTACTTTATAAAATTATTGTAAATATTATTATAATATTTTGAAAATTCTTAATAAATTTTGAAATAATTATTTTATTCAAATTTAAGCGATTTTAATTATATAAAATATATTATTAGATGCAGTATTTTAATTGGATAGCAATTTCTAAATTTTCCTCAAAATTATTTAAATCTTAGCCCATTTTACTCCAATTTCTTTCAAATCTAACCACCCCAATTCAAATCTTATTATAATTATAGTCATTCTTCATTTCAATTATAGCCAATGTAATTTTAGCTTTGGTCAATCTTTGAATCGAAATAAAAAAACCTCATCTCTTGATCCTAACCATTTATTTCTTTATTTAATCTGGGTCCTCCATCTATTTGGAAATCGAAGGTTAGGATTAAATCTCCCATTTCTCACCTATTTCAAACAAATTACCTAAAACCCTATTTTCTCATTCTCTTCCTCTCTTCTCCTGGGCAGCCGCCACCCCTCCACTCTCAAATTCTCTAGTGAGATCGACGAAGCAGCAGCTCCAGCGAGATGAGCTAGGCGGCATGACTTGTCCTCTCCTCCTCCTTTCCTCTTCGGTCGCTCACCTTCTCCTCTTTCCTCCCTCTGTTTTTCCTTCTTTTATGTTCTCTTCTCTAGGCGAGGTCACCGGCGGAAAGCTCGACGAGACAGCAACAGCCGGACGTCAGCAGCTCGAGCGATCTCCACCAGGCAGCAGCGTACTACGGACAGCCAGTTGTCGGTGCGTCCATCCCCTCTTTCTCCAGCAATAAAAATTGCTCTGGCTAGCAGCAACAATAAAAACCAACCAGTGAGACCCTTGAGTCTACATTCCTCCTCTCTCCGGAAGTTTGAGTCCGAAGATGGATATCAACAGATCTGTCCAAGTAAGCCTTAATCTAAATTTTTTTTTTAGTTGCATCTTTGGCTATTATGTCAGAAATCTTGGCTTTTACATGTTCGATTTGATCCTGTTGCACTATTATTGCACATTACATTGTTAATTGTGTGATTTGGTGTTGTTATTCTTGGGATCTCAGATTGTATGCATGTTTTGTCTCGATTCCTGCTTATTTTGCTTATGAAAATGTCAAATACAAATCTTGATTTTGTTATAATATCCATAAGTCTCTGTTGCATGAAAAAATTAGTATGTATGTAAAATTATAGCAAAATGTATGTATATATGTATGTATGTGTGTGTATGTATATATATATATATATATATATATATATATATATATATATATATATATTGTGAAAACCTAATTTTTTATGTGTGTGTATGTATGTATGTATGTATGTGTGTGTATGTATGTATATATATATATATATATATATATATATATATATATATATATATATATATATTGTGAAAACCTAATTTTTTTACCAAAAAATATAATATATTTTACACCAATTTAAAAAGGTTTATATTTACAATAAAATAAAATAATAATAATAAATTGTAAATTAATAAAAATTATAAGATCAATTATAGTTTAATAATAAAAAAAAATTGATAAATAGAAGTTGGGAATTTAAGTTATTTATTAATTATATCTAGTCTAAAAATAATAATAATATAGAAAATATTATGAAAAAGTATAGAAAAAAGAAAAGAAAAGAGGAGTCCTAAAAATTTCAAACTTTTTTTACCTTATCCTAATTATTCCCTACTTCCTAACTTATTTTCCTAAAAAGTCTCATCCCATCTATTTATTTTTTATTTTTTTACTTCTTTTGAACGATTATTTTTAAACTTTACATAATTTTTTTTCATTTATTTTGTTTTGCTAATTTGCTATTATTATTATTTATTTATTTTATATCCTTATCTCAACCCCAATTTTCTCAACTAATTTTTAAATTAAATCCTAATCCAACTCTATTACGTTCCTTTTAATTAGCACCAGACTCTCAGCCAAAATTATATAACCCCACGCTCAGCTGAAAAAAAGATATACAGAGAGATATAGAGCAAACACAAAGAGAAGAAAAATGAGTTATTCTTTTGAGAATTAGGTTAGAGTTAGAGTTTTTTGTCGTGGTTCTAAATTCGTGGCTCAAATCAGTAGATCGTAAAAGTTATTTTTCGTGATATCCATTTTCGCAGTGAGATAACTCTAAATTCTCGCATTATTAACATGTAATGTTGCATGAAAATTTGCATCTAATAATATGAAGTTCTTTGAATCGTATGTTATTATTATGTAATATCAATCAGTGATTCATGTTATGATTTTTTTTCTCTCGATCTAAAAAACAGAACAAAAAGAAAATATTTCTTGCTAACAAAAATAATATAAAATAAAAGATGTATCATACATTTTTTTGCATTATTATTTGTGTCTGTTATTCTTTTAGATACAATTTATATCAAAATTTATTTTGTGATATTTAATAGCGAATGTTTTTCTGGAGCCTAGTTTTTCACTAAAAAATAAAATAAATTTTTTTAACTTGTTAGATTAGGATGTAAACTAAAATTTTTAATTCATTAGTAATTTAAAAAATTTATATGTAATACGTTTCAATTTGTTTAACACATTATTTGGATTAAAAATTATCTTTAGAATAAGTATAAGATGGTTATCTAATTCGAATTATTAAAGTTTATCATTAAGAGAATATATAAATATTATTCAAAGTCATAACTAAAGTTAAAAATAATGAGAAAGAGTAATTAAAAAATGAAAAATAAAAACCATAATAGTAAAAAAAAACAGAAACCATGTGCAGAAAAAGAATAAGAAATAGAAAAGGAAAAAATAATGATTAAATAAAATTGAAAATAAAGTGTAACAAAAAAACAGAATGTTAAAACTAATATATATATATATATATAAAATAGATAAAGATATGAAGACAAAAAAATAAAGCATAAAAAAGATAGAAATAATAATAATAATAACAATAATAATAAAAAAACAACGTGAACCTACAAATAATAATAAAAAAGGAGCAGCAAAAAAAATGGGCATAATAGAAAAAAAAATCAATCAAAAGAAAAGAAAGTAAATAGAACAATAAATAAATAAAATGGTATACAAAATATACATAAAGCACTGTTATCGGTAGATTGCTACTCCTTGACTCGAGTTGTCCGCTCGTTTTACAGTAAGTCTAGATATCTTTTCTCCACAAGTTAAACCTTAGTAGAATTGAAGCTTTCAGACATGATATACTTACTAGGTTCCGACTTATATGCATCATGTGCATGTAACTTAGCGAGATTCGGTATAGGGGCCCAATCTGACTAGGACATGTACCTTTTTCGTGAGACCATCATGTGCATTTTTGTGCTACTTGTTGCATCATGTGGAAACTGTAACAAAATGTTTACCGGCTTTAGGATAATCGACTAAAGAAATAAATATCTATTTTCTACCCATTTTCAACCAATGATTCAAAATAAATAAATTAATAAACATATATATACATACACACCTAATCCACAATTTTATTTTCGCTTTTATTAAAATAATGCATAAATAATAAAAATAAAAATATTAATAAAATATGTATATATGTCTTTTAAAATGTAAATGTACACATTGTCTTATTCTTCTTTTTTTTTTTATCAAAATTATCTCTTTATCTGGTCATTCTTTTAAAAAATAACCTGAATCAATGATCACTTTAGATATTCCGAAGCATTTTTTTTAACTACTCCAATAAATAATTTCGAATTATCAAAATTTCACAATTAAATTTGATTTTAAAAATTCCGAATTTCTTTTTCTCAACCAGGTAATCATGATATCTATGAGGTGTGATAAAAGACCAAGGGATAAACTAGTCAAAATGGTCAATGATCCCCCAAAGTTCATAATCACAGATAAAACCCCACAATTACTAATGGATTGGTGGAAAGATATGCATGAATTTAGGCGGACTGAGATATTCAAACATCTTGATTTTCTTTCAGATATTATGAGATTTAGTCCTGACAGAGATTTGATCGAGGCTTTGATCCCGTTTTGGGATTCCACAAATAATGTGTTTCGATTTAGTGATTTTGAGTTGACGCCTTCATTAGAAGAATTGGGTGGTTTCACAGGTTTAGGCCAGGATCTTCGAATTAAAACACTGATAGCCCCTAGGAGTGTCAGCAGAGGTAAACTTCTAGAACAGATGGACATCATACATCTTCATGAGGAGTGTTTTGATAATTGGTTGGTTTCTTTGAAATTCTTGTACTCAAGATATAAAAGAAGGAAGGATTTTCAAGCCATGGGAAACAACTTTAAAATGGACAACACCTCCCTACTTGGGAAAAACATAGACAAGAAGCATTCATGGTGGCATTCTTGGGATCTATGATTTTTTCAAGGAAGGATAAAAAAATCAATATTCGTCTATCAGGAATAGTAACTGTTATAATGAATAAAAGAAAATCCACTATATTGCTGATGATGTTGACTGATATTTATCGTGCCTTGACTAAATGTAAAGAGGGGAGAGATTTTATTGAAGGTTGTAGCATTTTATTGCAAATGTGGTTTTTGGAGCACCTATATCGCCACCGTTTTGCGACAGATTTCAAATCCGATTGGACGAATTATATTTTAAGCCACCCAGACAGGATGAAAGAATTAGGAGACAAATTTCCAAAAGGTGTCAAAGCATGGAGACATTATCTTCTTAAATTGACGGCATCTAAATTTACATGGAACTATAATTAGTTCCCTGCTAGTGAGGTAATTGTTATGTCTTTCTATCGTCCATTCTTCGTTCTGACAGGCCTTCTTGGGTTCCAAACATACATACCCCTCCGAGTTCTATGCCAACTAGGACAAAAAATAAATTTTACTTAAGCCAAGGATATACAAAATTTTGTGTGGGAGGTAGTATTTGAAGATTGAGATCGAGAATTAGATGCCCAAAAGATTTGGGGTGGTAGTCGAACTTTAAGTTCGAAAGCTATGGTTGATGATCACGTTGAAGGAGAAGTTGACCCCTTATACCTTCATTGGTTCTTTGATCAAGCCCCTCTCAATGTAATACCCGAACGATCAGCGCGAGAAATCATAGATCGAGAAGAGGAAATTGAAGTAAGAATCAAGCATGCCCGACTCGAAGTGGAAAGAAATTATAGGTCTACTTTAGATATCCTAAGCAATGACCTAAAAAATGTTAAACAAGAGTTGGCTCGACGTGATGCAATATTCGAGGAAAGAGTTACATTGATTGAAAAAAAGGTTGAAAAGAAGCATTTATCTACTATTCAAACACTACATGAAGATTTGGGCATTGTCACTCCAAATGCATGTCATGTTTTAAATTGTCACATACTTTCAAATAAGATTCTTTTCACTCATTTAAACATTTTCTCATGTATCTACTACTTCTAAAGACATAATTTTTCCTTCATAACCCTTTCATTAGTGTCATTTGTGCTTGTGTTTCTTTGTGTTTTTGTTTTTTTCTTCTTTCTCAGCATCAATTCGTGTCAAGTGAGAAAATAAAATTAAATCCGCAAAATTGACTATGATATTTCCAGTTGAATGTTGAGGACATGCACCATATTGGCTAGGGATGTAACCTATCGATAAAATAAATGTCATAAATTGATACCATGTGATAATAGATAAAGCAAAAGAGTTACTTGGAAACGAATGAACCACACAACACGCACAAAATGGTAATGAGTTAGAATGTCCATGCAAAGTGTTTCAAGGAAAGATAAGGACTATTTTTAAAACATCTTCAAGATATTCACACAATCATCAATGGGATGAATCTTCCAAGCAGGGCAGATCCAGAAGTCAAGCTTTACAAGATACTCGAAGTCACGAACCAACCACCATTTAGAAAAATTAACAATACATTTCTTTGACTTAAAACAGGTATACGACAGAATCATGTAAATAAATTGCGAGATACAAACGCCGCGATGACAAGTTCTTGAATCCTTACTTTTCATATAATATGCCTGATAAAATAATAATAACAATAAAATGATTTTTTAATTGAATCTGGGGCATATTATTTTATAGGGCATAATAACCCCTATTTTATTTTTTATGTCTTCACAGGGAATAATAATCCCTGGTTGCATATAGGGAACAATAACCCCTTTCATGTCTTCATAGGGCACAATAATCCCTGGTTGCATATAGGGCACAATAACCCTTATCCTATTTTTCATGTTTTCACATAACACAATAACCTCTGGTTGCATATAGGGCACAATAACCCCTATTCTATGTTTTCATGTCTTCACAGGGCACAATAACCCTTGGTTTCATATAAACCCCTATTTTATTTTTCATGTCTTCAGAGGGCACAATAACCAACTGGTTGCATATAGGACACAATAACTCCTATTCTATGTTTTCATGTCATCACACGGCACAATAACCCTTAGTTGCATAAAGGGCACAATAACCCCTATTTTATTTTTCATGTCTTCAGAGGGCACAATAACCCCTGGATTGCATATAGGGCATAATAACCCCTATTTTATTTTTCATGTCTTCATAGGGTACAATAACCCCTGGTTGCATATAGGGCACAATAACCCCTATTTTATTTTTCATTTCTTCACAGGGCACAATAACCCTTGATTGCAATTTAGGTACGAAACTCCCTTTTGTCTTATATTTTACATTTTGTAATAGGCTACAAAAATATTATTTTTATTATTAGTATAGACTTTTATAGTTTTCATCAATAACTCACAAAATTTCCTAGTGCAAACTAGGCAGAGATTTTGTTTTGTGTGCAGGTTTCTACATAGTACACAAATTTGCAGTTCAAAAATAAAAGAATTCATCCTTTCAAGAAAACAAGTTTTCAAGAATATTATGCGGAAGAACGTCAGTAGCTGAAGTCAAGTCATGAAGTTTCAAGTCTTAAACTCACATGTCCAGAGCAAAGTTCAAAATCGATGAACCTACCAAAGAGGGTGAAGCGATATCCGATGATTCAAAATGAAGACTTAGCACTATCGAAGTGGATAGGATTTCATATCTTTCCTTCTGCATTTTTGTTTTTTTATAGTTGGAGCTACGAACCGGAATATCGACAAAAACTTACTCGACTACCTAACTCATTGGAACTACGCTCGACTCTTTATCATCAACTTAGGATAGGTAGTTTTTTAAAAAGGTTTAGACATAGTCAAACCTCTTCTATATTATAAATTTTTCACATATTTGGCATTAATATTTCAGTAAAAAATTAGTCACATTGTTCACGTCTTTGCATGAAAACTCTTCATGTTGTCAAGCATAGAGGGGCATACTGTGAACACCTAATTTTTTACCAAAAATATAATATAGTTTACATCAATTTAAAAAGGGTTATATTTAAAATAAATAAAATATTAATAATAAATTATAAATTAATAAAAATTATAAGATCAATTATAGTTTAATAATAAAAAATTTTGGTAAATAGAAGTTGGAATTTAAGTTATTTGTTAATTATATCTAGTCTAAAAATAATAATAATATAGAAAATATTATGAAAAAATATAGAAAAGGAAAAGAAAAGAGGATTCATACAAATTTCAATATTGTTTTACCTTATCCTAATTATTCCCAACTTCCTAACTTATTTTCCTAAAAAGTCTCATCCCATCTATTTATTTTTTATTTTTTTTACTTCTTTTGAACAATTATTTTTAAACTTTACATAATATTAATCATTTATTTTTGTTTTGCTAATTTGCCATTATTATTATTTATTTATTTTATATCCTTATATCAACCCCAATTTTCTCAACTAATTTTTAAATTAAATCCTAATCCCACTCTATTACGTTCCTTTTAATTAGCACCAGAATCTCAGCCAAAATTATATAACCCCACGCTCAGTTGAAAAAAAGATATACAGAGAGATATAGAGCAAACACAAAGAGAACAAAAATGAGATATTCTTTTGAGAACTAGGTTAGAGTTAGAGCTTATTGTCGTGGTTCTAAATTCGTGGCTCAAATTAGTAGATCGTAGAAGTTATTTTTCGTGATATCCATTTTCGCAGCGAGGTAACTTTAAATTCTCGCATTATTTAAATGTAATGTTGGATGAAAATTTGAATCTAATAATATGAAGTTCTTTGAATCGGATGTTATTACTATGTAATATCAATCTGCGATGCATGTTATGGTTTTTTTTCTCTTGATCTGAAAAACGGAACAAAAAGAAAATTTTTCTTGCTAAAAAAAAATATAAAATAAAAGATGTATCATACATTTTTTTTTGCATTATTATTAGTGTTTGTTATTCATTTAGATTCAATATATGACAAAATTTATTTTGTGATATTTAATAGCTAATTTTTTTCTAGAGCCTAGTTTTACACTAAAAAATAAAATAAAATTTCTATACTTGTTCGATTAGGATGTAAACTAAAATTTTTAATTCATTAGTAATTTAAAAAACTTAAGTTTAATATGTTTCAATTTTTTAATACATTATTTGGATTAAAAATTATCTTTAGAATAAGTATAAGATGCTTATCTAATTCGAATTATTAAATTTATCATTGAGAGAATATATAAATATTGTTGAGAATCATAACTAAAATTAAAAAAATAAGAATGAGTAATTAAAAAAATGAAAAAAAACCATAATAGTAAAAAACAACAACAGAAACCATGTGCAGAAAAGAATAAGAAATGAAAAGGAAAAATAATGATTACAATAAAATTGAAAAATAAAGTATAACAAAAAAAACAGAATGTTAAAACTAAAAAAACATATAAAAAATAAATAAAGATAAGAAGACAAAAAAATAAAGCATAAAAAAGATAGAAATAATACTAATAATAATTTTAAAAAAAGAACAACGTGAACCTACAAATAATAATAAAAAATAATAGCAAAAAAAAGGGCATAACAGAAACAAAAAAAATCAAACAAAAAAAAGAAAGTAAAAATAACAATAAATAAATAAAATGGTATGCAAAATATACGTAAAAGAAAAAAAAATATAATAATAAAAAAGGTTAACAGAACGTCAGAAAAAATGATTTAAAAATAAAAATTACATAAAAAAAACACCCAAATGGGACGTACAAAAGAAAATGTCATACAAAATTATTAATTTTTATTTAAAAAAATAATAAAAAATCCTATAAAATTTATCTCCTATTTTAAATTTATATATACAAAAAAAATTAAAGTTACTCAAACACTAAAATTTCTTTCCTAGATAAACTATAATTCCTAAATATTAGGTACCTATAATAATATAAAAATAAAAAAAAATATACAAATATAAGCAAAAAAAAATATAAAATAATATATGGATATTTCAAGTTTAAAATTAATGGATGCATATCAAAAAATAAATAAAGACCAGTTATAATAAATAAGCCAGTTTCAAATAATTGTTGAATAAATCTGAGGGTGAATAACAATTTTATTATTAAGTTAAATAATACAATATATAAAAATTAAGTCAAGTCATACGAAAGTTAATAAAGCGACCGTGCTAGAACTACAGGACTCGAAGGGTGCCTAATATCTTCCCCTCGGTCAACAGAATTCCTTACCCGGATTTTTACTTCGCAGACCAATAAGAAATATAGAGTCAAATTTTCTTTTGATAAGGGATTTAAATAAGGTGACTTGGAACACCAAAACTCAATTCCAAGTGGCGACTCTGAATAATTATTATCCCTTTTCAAAATGTCACTTTAATTGGAAAACTCTTTTTTTTTAAATAAATAAAAATCAAAATATTTTGTTGCATGCGGATCAAAAGTTGGATTACGTTGTCTCTATTGTTGATGACATTTTTTGCTTAGCTTGTTAGTATTCTTAATTAACATTTATATTATTTTTCATTCATACATTTATGTAAGTTTGTTGTTCTACTCTTTTCCTACATGTGTGATTATTGTTAAATAAATGTATTTGTGTCTTACCTTGTCTAAAATAAATATGATTATATGTGTAGCGTATTGCTTTCTTTGACAGGTTTTAAACTTGAAGTTGAAGTTGAAAATTCGCTATAAGACGAGATTAGTTTATTAAATATATGTATTTAAATTTGTATTTTCTTATTTATTTATTTGGATTTTTGTAATATTTGTAAGACTCTAAACTCTATACATATGAAAATATTTTGGGGATTATTTAAGGGGGGGAGGGGGAATTACGTTCTAATTATCCTTTTATTTACAAACTTATTTGTGTTAGAAAACATGTCTATAGGATTGTAATTTGTTTGATAGTCTTCACTTGATAAAACGACTTTACATCCAACTGAAATAAAAAAATAATAATAAAGTTATCATCGTTTGACCACATTGTTTAGTCTTGTCTAATTAGTGTTTGAAACTGAACCTTGTTTAAGTGCTTAAGAATTGTCATTTTGCATGTCGCCTAGTTGGTTGTACTAATAAATAAAATCAATCTTATTTCATCAATTAGTGTTA